GCTCCTCAGAGAGTGCCATCCGGTTACACAATCCACGCTGAATATATAACTCATTCACTCGTGTGTATGCCGCTGCTGTGCCTGCAGGAACTCGGGTGACCGCTCTTGCTCCGCCATCAACAGGTGCGCTGCCCAACTCGGTCTTCCCTCCGAACTCCCGTACCAAGCAAATCAGCTCATCTGGCACCAAGGCATTGCAGAATTGGGCGAATGCCTTCTGATTTTTCCTCTCCCACTTCAGCCGTGCGTCACCGGATGCAGGCCGCTCCTCCGAACCATCAAAGTACCCCCATAGGTCGTGCGCCTCTGCCCATTGTTCGAATCGGAATCTCCAAGTCCAATAGTCACTCCCGTCAAACTTTGGTGCACTCTCCAGCTTCCCTTCGCCTGAGTCATGATCCATTTGCAGCAGAGGCACTGAAGGTTGACGTAAAGGTGGTGGTGGAGGGAACGGTGGCGGCTGTGAAGACGATGTGGGCAGATTCACCCCCTCTTGGTTTTTGGAGCTTAACTCCGCGCTCAAATCTCCGAATGATGAGCCGTTTGATCCAGGTGAATCCTTGCTCCGAGACCGTTCCAATGGTGTATCGCGTTCCTGGATCCCGTGTCCGAAGTGTCTGCTTAAACTCGTCGAAGTTGGCCGATTTTCCGTCGACGAAGACTCAACCGTTTCGCCCGATTTTTGGCTTGTTGGATCCGCCCTGGTGTCCTCTTTTAGCTCCCGACCTCCAATTCGCGCTTTAAATCGTCCCCGATTCGCAATTTTCCAATTCGGCCGCCGACCGTTTTTTTTTCGCGAATTACGTCCGACCTGCTCATCGATTGGTGACGACTCCGAGGCAATTGTTGTAGATCGTGCTGAGGCCTTTCTAACGATATGCTGCACGTCTTGATCGGCTAAACTTCACCGAGCGCCTCCGTAAATGGATGTAGCTCCTCTCGTCCTCCCGAACGGATCCACATGATTTCCAGCAAATTTCTTCTCTCCTCCTCCCCTCCCACGTCTAGAGTCCGCCACGGTGCAATTTCGGCAGCCCTTCGGAAGGGATGGAAGCTAAATAGCTTCCACTACGATATTATGGTCCAATGCCTTCAGTAACTCCTATTCCAACAGATTGCTAGGCCTTCCTAGCTTTGATACCATGTTAGAATGGTCCAAGCTACTAGCGGAAGCTATAGTAGTCTTAGAACCTCCTTCTAAGGCCTAGGAATCTTAGGAGCCAACTTGGGCATGAACCATGCTATAACCAAAGGGGTTTCCAAGAAGTGAATTTCCAACAAGAGAGAACCTAAACCTATAAGGTTTGGGAGGTGGTCCACTATAAAGAGTGTACACCACAAGTTCTCCCAACCCAACCAATGTATTCTACACTACTACAGTGTAGATCTACCACTACATATGTTTATTGGAGCAACCCGAATTAACCTTAATTCCAACACAAGACTCCATTATAACTCTGAATTTCTGAAACATTCTGAACCTGTTCTTTGAAGCAGCAAGAGCCAGGCCAACAACGAATCATCCCACCACTGCATTCGGTTTCTTCCAAGACAAAATGCATGGCACCAGCAAATCCGCGATCGATACTTCCGTATCATCCAACCAAGATCCAGCTTTTCGGTAATTACCACCGTACTCCGGTTCGTCCGTGACTTCTCGTCACGTCACACACCGTCATTGCCTGTCGTCGTTCTCCTTCCATCTCCAGGAGCGACTAGCCTCGTTGATTCTACGTGAGTTCTCACTGTGCAACGAGCCATGGCCGACGCCAGTCCCCAGTCAACATTTCAGCTCGGCGGGATCACCGCTGCCGAGTACAATGGCTCCGACTCCAAGCCCATTCTCGTATCGCTGAAGCACGTGATATACAACGTCACGTCAGCGAGCTCGTTCTATGGTTCGCGATGGTCCGTACTCGATCTTCGCAGGCAAGGATGCGAGCCGGTCGCTCGCGACCATGACCATGGTGTCAAATTGCATTTGTTATCTCTAGGCCGTAGTGGGGCATACTCTAAGGAGTACAACACATTTGGTCATTCCTAGTACTTGTACTCATGCTTGCCTACTAGTCCATCATTCCTACATAGTTCTCTTGACATGGTTTCAGAGCAGGTCCCTCCGTAGGACCGCTCTGTTAGGGCCCACCAACCGTACGTACTGTCCCAGGAGCTGCTGCCGTCGTGGGCTGCCCTGCTCACCGCGCGCTGCCCTGCTCGCCGCGCGCTGCCCTGCTCGCCGCGCGCTGCCCTGCTTGTTGCGCGCTGTCCTGCCCTGCGCTCTGCCCGCTTGCTGCGCTGCCCTGCTGCCCGCGCGTCGCCCTGCCCTGCAGCCCGCGCGTCGCCCTGCCCTGCAGCCCGCGCGTCGCCCTGCCCTGCAGCCCGCGCGTCGCCCTGCCTTGCTGCCTGCGCGTCGCCCTGCCCTGCTGCCCGCTCGTCGCCCTGCCCTGCAGCCCGCGCGTCGCCCTGCCCTACAGCCTGCGCGTCGCCCTGCCCTGCAGCCCGCGCGTTGCCTTGCCCTACTACCCGCGCGTTGCCCTACCCTGCAGCTCGCGCGCCGCCCTGCCCTGCAGCCTGCGCGCTGCCCTGCCCTGCAGCCCGTGTGCTGCCCTGCCCTGCAGCCCGCACGCTGCCCTGCCCTGCAGCCCGCGCGCTGCACTGCCCTGCCCTGCCCTGCTGCCCGCACGCCCTGCAGCCCGCGCGCTGCCCTGCCTGCGCAGATCTGCAGCCCGCGTGCTGCCCTGCCCTGCAGCCACTACAGCGAGTAACGCTACAGCTACACCTGCAGCTACAGCAGTTGCTTCTGACGCCCTTGCGCCGCTGCTACTGACTGCCACTGCCTGTCATGGCCACTATCTCGGCAGTAGCAGCGTGTGTCAGTAGACAACAGCAGCTGGCTCACCCGGATACTCTATCGCCACAGCAGCTTCGTAAGTGGGTTATTCAGCGAGGCCGTCCTGGTGGTGGAGGATATGTTCTTGGAGGTACTCGACAGCAGCGGCAGTCTCGTAGCTCGAAGAGTCTCTCGCCACAGCAGTCTCGGGAGTGGTTTTCTCAGCGTCGTGTCTTTGGTAGTGTCGGTGCTGCTGCTCTAGGTGCTAGTGAGTCTTCTACCGCTCTAGGTGCCAGTGAGACTACTGCCATAGGTGCTAGTGAGTCTGCCACTAGTGAGTCTGCTGCCTCAGCTGAGGCCCTGCACACCTTCACACTTGACTCTAGCGCGTCTCGTTGCTTCTTTCGTGATTGCACCACAGTCACAACACTTGCTGCACCGGTCCCAGTCTCACTAGCTGACCCCTCTGGGGGGCCCGTCGTCGCACGAGCCTCCACTCTCCTCCCGTGTCCAGCAGTCCCCTCCGGCTCTCTTTCAGGCCTCCACCTCCCCTCGTTCTCGACGAACTTGGTGAGCAACGCAGTCCTTCAGGATGTTTGGGTTGATACCTTTATCCCTGAAGGGCAGCGTGTGGCAATCTGTACGTGCTCCCGGACTAGACGTCACCTTGCTACGTTCACTCGGTAGCCTGGGTCCAGTCTGTACACCCTGACCATTGTATCTTCACAGGTGGTTGCGTCAGGTCAGGTGGCTGCGTCGAGTCAGGTGTCTACATCTGGTCAGTTCGCTGCGTCGTGCTCGTGTCAAGTACTCTCCCACCAGACTCTTCTTTGGCACCACCGACTCGGTCACCCCTTTGCCGCGTCTCCGCAGCATACACTCCCGTCTTTTTGTCTCAGGCCTTCCTAGGTCCTTGCCCCCCCTCCCGCGCTCGCCGGACCCGCCGTGCCTTCCCTGCGTTGAGGGGCGGCAGCGCGCCGCTCCTCACTCTTCCTCGTTTCCTCCGACCACTGCTCCTCTGCAAACTCTCCAGATGGACGTGTGGGGCCCGACCCCCGTCTGTGGTACGGACCAGGAGTGCTACTTCATGCTGGTCGTTGACGACTACACGCGCTACACCACAGACTTCCCCTTGCGCAGCGAGGCGGACGTCTGCGGTGTTTTGATCCCCTGGATCCACGCTACTCGTCGCCAGCTGCGCGAGCCGTTTTGGCGGGACCTTCCGGTCCTGCGTCTGCACTCTGACAGGGGCGGTGAGTTCTCTTCTGGCCTCCTTGCGGAGTTCTGTCGAGACGAGGGCATCGTCCAGTCGTTCACGCTTCCGGCCTCTCCGCAGCAAAATGGGATTGCTGAGCGTCGCATTGGCTTGATCACGGAGGTTGCTCGTACCTCCATGATCCATGCGGTTGCTCCCCATTTTCTGTGGCCGTTTGCGGTCCGATACGCTGCGCATCAGCTCAACCTCTGGCCCCGTGTCTCTTTGCCAGAGACCTCGCCCACACTCCGTTGGACGGGAGAGGTTGGCGATGCGTCGGCGTTTCGGGTCTGGGGCGCGCTCTCCCTTGTCCGCGATAGCACTGCGAGCAAGCTATCTCCTTGCACTTCTCCGCTGCGCCTTCCTGGGCTTCCCCACCGACGCCCCACCATGGCAGTTTTACTACCCTCGCTCGCGTCGAGTCCTGTCCTCCCAGGACGTCACCTTTGACGAGTCTGTCTGTTTCCACAGGCTCCACCCCCACGCGTCCCACCCTGTCCCCCTGGCGCCTCTCTTCCTGGTACCAGTTCCCCCCCGGTAGACCCCCTCCCTCCACTGGGTCCTGCTCCTTCAGGTGTGTCTCAGGTAGACCCACCCCCCTTGGTTGAGCCTTTGGTGATCTCCTCTGACACCTCTGGCCTAGCCGAGGGGGGTGACCCCGCTGCTGACGACACGGCGACCACTCGTCGCTCTCCACGCTTGGAGACCCCTCCTGGTTTTCCGCCTCGACCGTCTTCGCTGCCTCTGCAGCCTGTAGCTGTGGACAATGGTGCTGCTGGGGGTGGTGACACTGGGGGCGAGGACGCAGGAGGTGCTGGTCCTGGGGGTGCTGAGACTGGGGGTGCTGGGACTGGGGGTGCGGATTATGGGGGTGCTGACTCTGGGGGTGCTGCGAGTCCTAGTGGTGGTGGGGCCATGGGTGCTCCTACTGCAGGTCCTGGCGTTGGACAGCAGCAGCTGCCTAGTCGACTCGAGACTCCCTCACCGGAGCAGCTTCGTGAGTGCGTCGTTCGGCGAGTCCGCTCTGGTGTTGGAGCTTGGAGTTTCCTAGACGCTGGAGCTGCTGGTGCTGGAGGTACTACTGAAGCTGCTGGTGCTGGAGGTACTACTGAAGCTGCTGGTGCTGGAGGTGCTGCTGGTTCTGGAGGTACTGCTGGAGGTGCTGGAGGTGCTGGTGATGCTGGTGCTGGAGGTGCTGGAGCTGTTGGTGCTGGAGGTACTTCTGGAAGTGCTGCAGGTGCTAGAGCTTCTGGTGCTGGAGGTGCCGGAGGTACTGCTGGTGCTGGAGGTACTACTGGAGGTTCTACTGGTGCTGGAGGTGCTGCTAGTGCCGGAGGCACTGGAGCTGGAGGTACTGGAGGTGCTGGAGCTTCTGGTCCTGGAGTCGCTCGTACGAGAGGTGCTGGAGCTGCCGGAGCTGGTGGTGCTGCTGGAGCTGGAGGTCCTGGAGGTATTGGAGGTGCTGGAGCTGCTGGTCCTGGAGGTGCTTGTACTAGAGGTGCTGGAGCTGCCGGAGCTGGTAGTGCTGCTGGTGCTGGAGCTGCTGGAGCTGCTGGTCCTGGAGGTGCTCGTCCTAGAGGTGCTGGAGCTGCCGGAGCTGGTGGTACTGCTGGTGCTGGAGGTGCTACTGGAGGTGCTGGAGCTGGAGGTACTGGAGGTGCTGGACCTGCTGACGGTACGGGTACTGCGCCTCGCCGACCATTTTTCTACCCGCAGCCGCACTCGTCCCTGCCGCCGCCAGACTCGGCCCTTCGCCAGGTTCTTAGTCTCCTGTCTTCCACTGGCCTCACTCCACCTCTCCTGTGTGCACCGTCTGGCCCGTCTCAGTCACAGTTGCCACCTGGCTCCCCACTGCCTGCTCCTTCTCCCTACACTCAGCTGCCAGAATCCCTGACTGAGCGTCGTGAGCCTGCGTCTCCTGCCTCCACACCTGTTTGTGCTTGTCGTGTCGCCCGTCCTCGTCCTCTTGCTGTCCCAGGCACTCACGTTATGGCACTTCGTCCTTCCTCTGTTCCATAGCGTGTTGCCCTGCCGTCTCCTCCGGCGTCCTCTCTTCCTGACGTTTCTGACCCTGAGTCCGACCTTGCTCGTGCTGCCAGTCCTACTGTCACTCGTCTCCTCGCTACTGTCGTCACTGACCCTGACTTTGAGTCTACTGCTGCGTTTGCCGTAGTCACTGAGCTAGTCGACTTTGCTGCTAGGAGTCGTCTCGACTACGTTGCGAGTCTTGTTACTGAGTCTGAGTCTAACTGTCCTCCGTCCGTCGGGGGTGAGCCTGCCCTTGGCAGTGACGTCCTTGAGGACAGGCAGTTTGAGCGTGAGCGTCTCGCGGCCGCTTTACCTTGTTTCGCATCCATGCTGCTTTGCCCTGAGGGAGACCCGGATGCACTTGACATCCCTACCTGCGCTCTTCCGCTGAGGCGATCGCGGGTGAGTACTCCTCTCAGTGGCAGACAGCCATGGACACAGAGATAGCTTCTTGGAAGTCCACAGGCACCTACGTCGACAAGGTTCCTCCTCCTGGGGCGAACATAGTCGATGGCATGTGGATTTTCAAAGTGAAGCGGCCGCCAGGTTCTCCGCCCGCCTTCAAGGCGCGTTACGTTGCTCGAGGCTTCAGACAGCGACAGGGGGTCGACCACTTCCAGACCTTCTCCCCCACCCTGAAGATGACTACTCTTCGGGTGTTGCTGCACATTGCAGCACAGTGTGACTACAAGCTGCACTCGCTGGAGTTCTCCACAGCTTTCTTGCAGGGCAGCCTTCACGAGGAGATCTGGCTGCGCCGCCCACCTGGCTTCACTGGGTCGTTTCCTGCGGGTAACCAGTGGAGTCTCCGGCGGTCAGTCTACGGTCTCCGCCAGGCGCCCCGCGAGTGGCACGACACACTGAGGACGACACTTGCGGCTCTTGGGTTTGCTCCTTCATCTGCTGACCCGTCGCTGTTTCTACGCACCGACAATACCCTGCCGCCTTCTACGTTCTCGTGTACGTCGACGACTTGGTTTTTGCTACTGCTCACACTAAGGCGCTGGCCCTAGTGAAGGCGGAGCTGCAGGAGAGACACACCTGCACTGACCTGGGTGAGCTGCGGAGCTATCTTGGCTTGCAGATCACCCGGGACAGAGCACGGCGCACCATCACCCTGACTCAGTCACACATGGTGCACTAGGTCCTTCAGCGCTTCGGCTTCCAGTACTCCTCGCCACAGCCCACTCCTCTGCCTACAGGCCACTCGCTCTCAGCTCCACCTTTGGACGAATCCGTAGAGCCGAGTGGTTCGTATTCAAAGCTTGTGGATTGCCTCATGTACCTGATGACGTGCACACGACCTGACCTTGCGTACCCTCTCAGCCTCCTGGCTCGCTACGTGGCTCCCGGTAGGCACCGAAAGGTGCACTAGGAAGCTGCGAAGAGGGTATTGCGTTACTTGTGCAGTACATCAGGCATGGGGCTCGTGCTTGGAGGACGGGGTTCAGTTGTTCTCACCGGTCACTCAGGCGCTTCTTGGGCTGGCGACCAGACAACTCACCGGTCGACACAGGGGTACAATTTCAGCCTCGGCACTGGTTCTGTCTCGTGGAGGTCCACTCGCTCTTCTTCTGTACTTAGTTCCAGCTGTGAGGCCGAGATCTATGCTGGGGCCATGGATGCACAGGAGCTCCGCTGGCTGACCTACCTGCTGACCGACTTGGGTGAGCGGCCTCGTTCCCCTCTAGTTCTGTACGTCGACAACAATGCCATGCTTGCCTTGTGTCACGAGGAGAGACTGGAGCACAGAACGAAGCACATTGCTCTTCACTACTTTCTTGCTCGAGAGCTGCAGCAGCGTGGTCAGCTTCGCCTTTCCTACGTGGCCTCTCAGGCCAACATTGCTGATGTCTTCACCAAGGCCCTCGGGTCTGGTAGTTCCACCGACACATCTAGCAAGAAACCTATGGTTTCCATTCCCCCCCCCCCTCAGATGACTCACGGGCAAATCCCTCGGGGCTGTGTTTGGCCAACCAGGGATTTGTCCGATAGGTACCAGGATGAGAGGGAGGATAGGGCGCATCAAGTGACTCAAAAGCAACGGTGCAAGGAGGTAAATCATGATTGCGGGTGTGCGAGCCGAAACGACTTCGGGGTCAGCCTTACCTGATTATAGGGTTCTAAGATTCAAACTACTTGATGCAAAGACACTTTAATCTGCGCTCCGCAATGGCCGCGTACACGCCAAATGATATGAAATGCGGGCGATGGCTTTGCGAGAGCGAATGGTACGTTTCAATGGAATCATTTTTTGTTACCAGACCACCTGATTCGACGACGAGAGGACAAAATGCGGACGATCAACAGAGGGGTAACCGGTATTGCGCGAAAGTGTTTCGGAAAAGGAAACGTCATTTTGAGTGTGTAACAGGAACACTGAAGCACTGGGATCGAAATTAAATTTGCCTCAAAACCGAACCCCGATCAAGGCATGTGTCCGAACGTACAATGACATTGCGGCTACTCAATGACACTTCGCTTCGCGCAACACGAATCGTTCGGCGAAGTTTTCTTACCAGGCCTCCAAATATCAGGGTAAAATGCCTTGACTGCCCTTTCTAGCGGCCGATTTCTTTCAGTTACCCTTTCCTAAAAAGGGTAATGGGGTTTTTACCCTTTAAAAATCAGGGCAAGGACATGGTAAAAGTGTGAATATCGCAGGATCTTGCCCGAATATCGAGTCGCACTATCGATTTAGCGGATCGGTTGGCGAAACGATGCGCAAACGCCATTGTAACGATCACCACTATGTTTGGGGTTGTTCTCCAGCAATCAGTGATCAGTCGCATTCCCCTACTGTGCACTATTTATTGACAAAACCCATACTGTAGCATGGTTATACGTTAGTAAACCGGGTAACTAGTCCGCACACTGATCGCGACCGACGATCGATTGTCTACTTTTACCTCGTCCTAAGGAATATATTTCTCTGATTGTACAGGGTACGATCACAGTAATACTGACACTGGATGCTCCGTAGCGAGACGAAACACGACACAAGCCCTTCAAAATTCTCCCAAAGGCGAGAATCGAAATGGCGACCTTACGATTCAAAGTTGGAAACCTTTCCGCTAAGCCACTACATGTTGAAATGTGAACACCTCAATGATTCTCTATAGATATGTGAACAGTATAAAAGAAGATACCCGGCCACAAACATACCAGATGTTTTTTTACCCTGAATTTGTCAGGCTAACGATATTTTTACCCTACCAATTTTGAGCCCTGTTTCTTACAGTGCATGGAAATTGATATTGACAGAAAACTATTTAATCTGATTTAACAAACAACTCAAATCCGATTTCACAACTACAGTCAAATCAGACTTTACAAACACAGTCAAATCATATTTGACAAGCACAATCACACCAGATTTGGCAACACGATCAAATCTGATTTGACAACACAGTGAGCTATGAGATCAGGGGTGAGTGTGAGCTATGAGCTCAGAGGTGAGGTGAGTGTGGGGGGGAAGGAATGGGGAGTAAGAAAGGAGGTCAGTGGGGCGGAAGAATGGAGAGGAGGGGGAATGACGGGGAAAGTTGGTATCTTCTTTTTCTTTTCTGACTTGCTTTCTATCTTTCTTGTTCCCTCTGCTTGTTTCGCATACCTCGTGCTCACTCGTTGTGCGCCCACCCATCCCTCCGCTACTTGCGCTCACCCACCCCACTGTTGCTATCCAAGGGTGGAGGGGGAAGGGGGGCGGAAGAGAGGATGGGGAGAGAGAGAGAGAGAGAGAGAGAGAGAGAGAGAGAGAGAGAGAGAGAGAGAGAGAGAGAGAGAGAGAGAGAGAGAGAGAGAGAGAGAGAGACCCTGGGTGGGAGCTAGACTACGGGGACGCCAATTTCAGCAGCGAACCACTGAAGAGCGAACGCGGTGTTCGCCAGGGCGACCCACTCGGCCCGTTACTATTCACAGCAGGGATACACCCCATACTCCACGAAACGGCCGAGGCATATCCGGACGTGCTCTGCCTGGCGTACGCGGATGACGTCACCTTTTTGGGGGAGACACAACACACTGTAGCAGCCTTCACGTTCTTCACCGACAAATTGGCCCACATAGGCCTAGCACATAACCCGCAGAAGTGTGCAGCCTGGAGTGCGTCCATGGTTAAGCAGATATGTGAACAGTATAAAAGAAAATACCCGGCCACAAACATACCAGATGTTTTTTTACCCTGAATTTGTCAGGCTAACGATATTTTTACCCTACTAATTTTGAGCCCTGTTTCTTACAGTGCATGGAAATTGATATTGACAGAAAACTATTTAATCTGATTTAACAAACAACTCAAATCCGATTTCACAACTACAGTCAAATCAGACTTTACAAACACAGTCAAATCATATTTGACAAGCACAATCACACCAGATTTGGCAACACGATCAAATCTGATTTGACAACACAGTGAGCTATGAGATCAGGGGTGAGTGTGAGCTGTGAGCTCAGAGGTGAGGTGAGTGTGGGGGGGAAGGAATGGGGAGTAAGAAAGGAGGTCAGTGGGGCGGAAGAATGGAGAGGAGGGGGAATGACGGGGAAAGTTGGTCTCTTCTTTTTCTTTTCTGACTTGCTTTCTATCTTTCTTGTTCCCTCTGCTTGTTTCGCATACCTCGTGCTCACTCGTTGTGCGCCCACCCATCCCTCCGCTACTTGCGCTCACCCACCCCACTGTTGCTATCCAAGGGTGGAGGGGGAAGGGGGGCGGAAGAGAGGATGGGGAGAGAGAGAGAGA